CTCATAGATATTAATATGACAGTTTACAATGGGTCAATTCTCATTTGATCAAACAAGACTTATTGCGAACTAATCAATTACGAACTGATATATTATATTTGTGAGACAAAGATATTAAAAAAAATTTGTGAGTGTAGTATTATCGTATAACTTAATACCCATTACTATATAACCTAATACCCGTTACGAAATTGTTTCTCAAACAGTCATTACCATTAATTTTATAGACTTTTATATATTAAAATTAAATTGATTGAGATTTTATTTTATATTTTAACATTAATAGGAACCAATAAACCATTAATCAATACCACTTGATTATGTAACGTTGTCTTCTATCTAAACTTTCTTATCAAAATAAGTTACCTTTTCCATACGAAGGCCTAGATTGTGAATAGCTTAGCCTTTGATACAAATTTTATAAATATAACAGTTCTGAATTGCAATACTCTATCATCATTAGATTGTGGTCCGAACACCCGATTCCCAAAAAAAATAAAAAATAAAATAAAAAATTTGCGGTCACTACATGTACAGTTAGGGTTTATATATTACAATATCATCTCGAAGTTTCTGCACACAAACTTTCTCCCCGTCGATTCGAGACACTAAACACAAACTTTCTCCAGGCCGATGCAAGACACTAACACAATCACCTATAAAAGATATCTCTGTTAGTTAAATGTAATATTTTTAATAATCTATTATCTTTTATGGTTAAATGGTTGACAGTTTTGGACAAACAATTAAAAATTTAAACAATTGACTATTTTGCTGCTGTTATAATTCTTGAATATGAAACTAGTGAATTGTTTGACCAACACTATTGAATATGAAACATTTTTACATTTAACTGCTATAACATTTATTTGGGATGTTAATGTTAATTTCTCAAAATTGGAAGGAGTTTACAGTTTACACCACAAAATGACAATGTAATTATCTCCCTATAGTTATCAAAGTTGATCAATTTAGATTTATCATTACGCAACTTCAAAACTATAGTATAATCCTTAAATTCCATTGCAAAAATTTTATAGCCGTGAGGGAAAATATGAAAATTACATGTAAAAGACAAAATTGAAAATAGTCAAAGAAGGCTTACCTTTTTTTTTTTGGTGATAAAACTGGAAATTTTATAAAAGAAAGAATCTAAGAAACAACTGGGAGAAAAAAGACCCTATCAAACTAAGAGAGCAACTTGGACAGCCCCAAGAGCTCAACAAAGGGTTTTACTTTTACAAGAGTGGAAACTGAGAGAAAAAGGCAGTATGTCACCGTTTTTCTTTATACATTTATTGAATTGAATTCAATTTTAATATCGATTGCTACACTACTATTCACTCTATCGTCTTTCTTCCGGGTCCCAATAAACTTCTTCTTATTCTTCCAAATTTACGTAATTCAGAGGGTAAAAGATCATGTGCAACAAAAGAGAAAGAGAGAGAGAGAGTCTGAAAAAAAAAAACAAATTGTCTTTAATTAATTGTTACGTCAAATTGAATTTTACTTTCACTCCTCCTGCTATTCTTGTACTTTCTCTCGTTTCACTCCCCGTTTACTTGTTGAATGAAAGACACAGTTTCTCTCTTTACATACTTTTGGAATGTCAGCTCTCTCTGGTTTCTCATTTACTTCTTTTCTGATTAATTAAACTTTGAATTTCGATCTCAATTCAATTTCAATAAACCCTTTGGCCTTTTTGGCCTATTTATATCACTTCACCACTCAGCTCAACTCTCACAAAACACAACACAATGTCTTCAACATTTCACTTTTCTGTCTCTCTCTCTCTCTGGTTTCAGCTTTGTCTTCAAGCTTTCTTGCCATTTCTAGCAACGGAGTTCTTTGATGATGATGACAAATGGAGATTCATGGACCATGCTTCTAGGGTTTGATTTTTATGGTGCTATCCCAACTGAGCTTCTTTATAATTTTTTTTTTTTAATTTTTGTTTTCCTTTTTCCTTTCTTTTCTTGACCTTGCAAGGCTTTTTCGGTTTTGCATCGCCTTCATGGCCGCCCTCTACCCCGTCCTATTTCTTCGCCAACCTTGCCAATCTCACCCACTTTTCTGTGTTTTCTTCCTCTTTTATCTCTCTAATTTTTATTTTTACTTTCAACTTCACCGACCCTCCCATGTTCTGCATTTCTTCTATTCCTCCTGAGCTTTGTGTATATATCAGTGCAAAATATGTGTATTTTTCCCTGTATTTTGTATTGTTTCTTTATGTCTATTGTACTGCTCGAAACGTTGCTGCAATGAGAACTATCTTTTCTTATGTACGTTCAATGTTGTTATGTGCAGGCTTACTGTTAGTTTTTTGTTTTTCTTAATTAATCGACTGTAATGTTTAATATTTATACGAATTATGATTACGTAATTTTGGCTTGGCTTTTGCTAATGTTTTCATGTAATCAAAAAGAGCTATATGGCCGACCAAAAATGAAAGTTATTGCAATGGACAAAAAACCATGACCCTTTTCAGTTTTATACTTGTTTCAGTTCCTACTACAGGTAACTTTTTCTTCTTATTAATGAACCCTAAAAGCTGGTAAGATTCAAAAAGTTGAATATCAAAGCAGGAAATTATCTCAATAATTAAATTAGAATTACAATAGATTGGCAACTATCGGGCTTGTTATTGGCACTTTGAAGATATAATTAATTAGCCAGTCAATGAGACAATTGCCGCTATGGTTTTCTTTATTTTTATTTGTTTCTGTGTCCATACCTTCTTCTGATCCCAGAGCAAATTGCATTACAGTTAACTCCAATGCTTTAAAAGTCTCATTTAACGTAATATTGATAACTTCAACTTCAATATCACACAGATGTAATGGTATCGTTCGGCTACTATATGTAGCTAGCATGCTTAATCTACCATGCATTGAAGTTGAGGTTATAATTGATTTGTCCAAACGTTGATAATGAAAAAACTGATAATATAAGTAGCATAATTACGAAAATTTGAGTGACAAAACTTATTTTTGTTTTTTATATTTTGGATAATATTTTTGAAAAAAGTAAGAGTTGAATGGTAATATGAGTAGGATTTAAAAATTAATAAAAAAATTTTTAGGTTTGTTAATTTACTAAACAGTAATAAGAATATTGAAAATTATAAAATTATCCCCATCCATCTATTAAATACTAGCAATCGGCTACCATTGCCAGAGGGTTGCTGGAATCATCGTATCGACACATGATTGGTTGAATTTAGCCGATCGTGGTTGTGCGTCGAGATGACATTTTCTAGCCAGATCCACCGTGGATCTGGTCGAAAAAGGCTAGATCTATGGCTAGATCTGGTCATGTTCTGGCTGCGTTTGATGGTCAATGACGGCCAAACATATGACTGTCGTTGATGGTCAACGATAGCCAAAGATTTAGTCGTCAACGGCTAGATTTTTGGCTGTAGATATTGCCTTTTCTAGTTAAATCTACGGTGGATCTGGTCGAAATAGGCTATATTGGCGCACTACCGGCTAGATCCAACCAGTAGTGCGCCACTATACTAGATTCTGGACAACTTCCGATGGTGGTGGCCAAAATCGGGAAAATGTGGGTGGTGAGAGTGTTTTGATTAATTTCTAAACTTTTTTTTGGTGTTTAGTTAAATTAACAAACTTAAAGGGTTTAAAAATAATTGAATAAAATATAATAGTATTTTTAGAATAGGAAAACACATGTGTATGTTGGAAATGATTAGAATATGATAGGGGAAAATAGGGAAACAAACGCGCTTACTTTCCTTAAAACATTTCTATCATAACCCTTAGTGGCAACTTTCAATTCTTGATGAATTTTTCTAAATTCAAAATTATCAAAAGCTGAGAGTTGTCTGGTAAAGGTTATGAATAAACCTTTATCGAAATTTTTATATCTTAAACAATATTATATTAAAAGAGGAAATCTAGTATGCAGAACTAGCTAATCATGGGGCGAGTGTGTCACGCATGCTGATGTGACAATCTATGATTGGCGATTGTTCATATCACTATGTATCCTATTACAATATACACAATCAATTATAAATGAAATATGTTTCACTCGTATTGATGTGGTATATTGTTTGATCGAGGCTATTTACCTTAGAGACTTGATGCGGTTACTAGTACTATAGAATGCGAATGACATTCGGTTTTTCAGATTTTCAAGGGCCGTTGGAGGCGCATTGGACACCACACGACGTGCGGTGCTCTTATCACCCAACCCAAAATTCAACTACGAGTTTTTTAATTACAACAACTTAGATATACGCTTTTGTAGTTGACTAACTAGAATTACTATAGCTACTGGCACTAGACTAGCTCTTCAATGGATATTCTGATTGTACTACAACATATGATGCACAAAAGTATTTTTTTTAACATCGATTAAATTTGGATTCACAGAAGACTTTCTGAGCGATTGTTACTAATCAAAGTTGTCTAGTATTGTACGTAAATTATTATGATCAGACCAAGATTCTCTTTAAATAAGTAAATACAAAGATTTTAGTTACAATTAGCATAAAAAGGAAATATTTTGATTATCTATGTTATAAATAAATAAATGATATGTAAATTCCTTAAAATCTTAGCGCAACTATTTATCTCCTAGTACGAAATATCAATGAATACTTATGTGCATTTCGGCCCGGCCCGAACCGAGTTACAGTTATTCATTTTACCTAGATTATTGACCGGGATTACCCGAGCGGGTTAATTTTTTTTTTTCCTGATATATTTTCCTTTTAAACCTTTGTTGCACTTCGTTCTCTTTTCCTATTGTTTTTACCGCCAGGAGAGTGAGTGCGGTGGAAGTTGAAGTTAGAGAACGAGTTGATGAAGCCATTTAAATTTTTTGCTGGGATGAAAGTTGTCATCGAAGAATGATAGGACATCAAATTGGCAGAGAGCGGCAGGTCAGTGGCGGAACGTGCACACGTGAGGGGGCGTGGCGCCGCTTAAGTAGAGTCAGCTGTTCCGCAGCAATTACCAGCTCCTTTGCTGCAGCCTACTGGTCGAGACCCGGCGGCGCACAGAGCGTGTCCGCTGCTTTTATGAATTTGTGCCTAACACTTTTGGCGTCCAAGTCAGTCGTTGAATTTGATTTTTTTTTTTTTGTTAATTTTATGTTTCTGTTTGCTTGTTGAGAAATTAAAAGAGAAAAAAAAAAAAAAAGTTAACTCAACTGCTGTTCCTTAAAAAGTCAACAAAAATGAAGTTAGTGGCGGAACTATAAACAATAAGTGAGTTTTTGTTGTTGTTGGTTTTTTTTTTTTTTTTTTTTTTTTTAAATAAATGTGGATTGTTGTTTGTTTGCCGAGAAAATGGTAAGAAAGTTCGGATTTTCCGAAGGGATGATAAAATAAGTTTAACTAAACTGCGCATGAATAAAAGGTCAACCAAAATCCCGAAATTTAAGGGCACCACTTTTTTTAACTCAAATTATGAAACATTATTTTTAACCATTGGATCAAAAAACTGTTGGTGATTGAGATTCAATGTAATTTCTACTATTGATTCATCTTGGAAATCACATAATTTAAATGTAATCTTAACCATTCAAATACATGAAATGAAGAGCTAAAACATTGTGCTGTTGGTAAATTGAATTTGAGATTGATAATGTATAAAACTAAAGTTGACATATGGAATGTTGGACTGATAACAAAATAAACGGTGATGTGGGACATATGGAATTTCTATTATTAGTCACTCATACTGTACCAGGTTCTGGTCTGGCTTGGCCAGATTCTGAGTATACAACTGCATAATGCGTTTGTTATCGCAAATGAAATTAAATCAAGCATCTGATTCTGATTCTATAAATATGATATTGATGGAATTTTGGGTTTGTCAAGTTCTATTAGGATCATAAAAGATGCTTGGCCGAGCGTGAGTTTGAAGCATTAAAGGAACGGGTTGCAGGGAAGAGGACAGGGTTTACAAGAGTTTCCTGCATAAATGCTACTCTTCCTTTGTCACAGCTGTCAAGCGTCTCAGAAGATTTATGTGCTGCATGTAAGGTTTGTTTGCTTTCATTCTTTCTTTGTCCAAAACAAGATATATTGGCTTTTAATTTCCCATTGTCATATTAAAGAGCATGGAAGCAAATTTTAGATTTGGGTGTCAATTGTTATATTATGGAGAAAATTTGAGACTTATGATCGAAGTGTTATTTTCTGTTTATATTCCATCAATATTTGGATTCCGTTGGATTTTTGTATAACTCGTGTTTTTTTTGATATTTGACAAAGTTCCATGAGTAGAATAAAGAGAATATAAAGGAAAATTATAATTTCTTGTATACCATGAAATAGGTTTTGTTGAATACAGTTGATGAACATGATTGGTAAAATATATGTGTTTTATTTTTTATTTTTTAAGAATGTAGGTTCTACCTTTATGTACAACTATCATGTATGTTTAAGCTTTTCCTTGGTCTTGTGGTGGGCCCACTGACGAGAGTGGTCTGGTAGGTATATATGCAAATCTTAGAACCCAAATTGCACCTATCTAGATTGTCAATTTTTATGATATTAGTGTAATATCTTTATGGAAATTAGGCACAACTTTGATCCTGATGCTTTTGTTGTTTTATTTGTGGTTAGTTTCCCATATCATGTTGTAGTAAATGGTCTGTCTCATATGTGCTGTTTATGGTTTTTGACATAAATAAAGTACTCACTTTATTGCTTCCTTTGTCTGATTTTGTTAATCAGTACCATTCTTATATCTACTTATGTTCTAATTATGGAAGAATAATGTGAAGCTAGGCTCTGACTGTCATCCTTGCTGTCATAAGCTTTAAAATATGCATCTGGAAAATTTGTTTAGCTTTGCACATCATCCCGGACAATCAAGAAGAGCCAAATTAGTACATTGTTCATAAGGCACCCTCTAAAAAGGCATAATACATGGCACGCTATGTTTATAATTATAAATTAGTTTAATTTTATTAGTTTTGTATAAACATGTATTTGCTGTCAATAATGCTAAAAGTGGGCTTTTCCTCTATTTCTGTTCCAGCTCTCTCAGTCACCATAGAATTTGAGGATGTTTCTTAGTGTATATAATATATAAATAAACCAAATTCAGTACTGTTACTCTGTCATTGCACTCAGTCATATTTAGTTTTTCTTATTTTTTTACAGTTTAGTGATGATGGAGAAGATCGAGTAGTAGTTGGGACCCTTGATCTTAATCAGTGTCTTAGACTTCCTGATGAAATTACAGGAAAGAAACCTGAGGTAATTTGTAAGATGTCAGTTTTATTTTTTTAGATGTCACATGTGCTTATTTATATTCATAGGATTAAGTGTAATATATTGTATATGGTATGGTTGATTTTAAATGACATCTTTGTTCTTTATTTTCACCATTTCCTTTTCCATATGTAAGATTGTAGTTGTATAAAATCTTTATTCACACCATTTTTTGCATAAACCCATATTGGCTATAAAATTGTTCAAAGTTTTTAATTGAGTTCAGATGATTGTGTAGGATTATGGGTTTTTCTAGCTCGCCTGCCCTTTTTCATATTTATTTACAGAGAATTTTTTTTTTTTTTTTTAATTTTAATTTTTTAGTCCACAAAGTAATTCGTGCATTGTTGTATCTCTACATGTTTATATGCATCTGTATGCATAAACATACAAACATATGCTGAATTTTTACTTTTATGAAATCTTGAATGGGTTATATTTATTATTTCCCCTAATAACCAAAATGAGCAACCTTTAATAGGGGATTGGAGCTGATTTTGCAAGAGCATACCTGAGCAATGTATGTGTAGCTAAGGAACTTCAAAGAAATGGTTTAGGTTATGAACTTATTGCAAAGTCAAAGATAGTGGCTCGGGAATGGGGTAACAACTCAACACTCAACTATTTATCTTTTATATTGTCTGATTAATATACCCTGTTTTTTTTGCTACATATGTAATTTAGTTATCAAATTGTTGAGTTGTGTGTGAACATTGAAAAATTAAATGCAATCAAACTACAACAAAGGAACCCTTCCCCCCTTTCCTTAGATAAAGAACTTGCTCCCCCCTCCTGAAAACCAAAAAGAGAAAGAGAGAGAGAGAGAGTAGACAAGCATTTTTATATATTCATTCATTAATCACATCTCTAGTTTGCTATGTGTAAAAGATCTTCAGGCTTTTGATTATTTTGGTCTTTATTCTTTTATAGTGTAAAAAAGAAATTTTGGCTATAGACTTAATTTCGACCGGTTTCATGTTGTTTTGACAACGAATATGTGGATATGGTTGAGCATCGAAAATTTTATACTTGTTGATATGGAGTTCTGTCAATTGTCTTGTGGAGCTCTCAAACCTTTTAAGATTTTATAACAAACTTATACCAGAGGGTTAATTTTTGTGATTAAAGAAAATGACGTGCTTAATTTTCTTCTAAAAGGTTTTTCCTCTTTTTTCATATTATCTTTATGTTATTGCACAAGTTTTCATTTTATGATTTGCTAGAAACTTTTTACAGAGATGTTAACCAATAACACAACACTCTATGTGGGGTGGCTTGAAAGATGTTATCAGCTATCTCATTCCCTTGTAAATTGTTACTGTTCAAGTTCAGGCCAAGCATAATTTGTTCGTAACTATATGTTTCATTCACTCTTCTAGTTTGAGCCTTCAAATTTTGACATTGGTACGTAATATTATCTACAGTGCTGCACGACCTGAAGCATATTTATGTGAAATTTAGGTTGACTTTGCTGATTTATTTGCAGGCATAACTGATCTGTATGTCCATGTTGCTGTGAACAATGAACCGGCTAAGAAATTATACACGAAAAGTGGTTTTGTCTTTGAAAACGACGAGCCTGCATGGCAAGCCAGGTTTCTAGACCGGCCTCGGAGGCTTCTACTCTGGTTTTGTCTCTCGGGCACGCAGGATTTGTGATGTTATATCCATTTCCTCTCCCAAATGCTTCACTGCTGATTTGTTTGTACATGTTTATAGTTTCTGAATCTTCTTTATATTCAAAATGTATAAAGCTACTCTGAACAACATTGATCAGAAATATTTATACCTTTGTCATAATTGATCAAAAAGATGAGAAAAAAATATTTTTTCGTTCAATTCAAATTTGTTGATGGCAGGGAAGAATAAAAACTTCATTCTATAGTGAGAAGAATTTGAAGTGCTCTCTAAAGAAGTACTTGTAAAAAGGGCTTTCAAGAATTGTGTTTTACTCGAAACATTTTCTATGAAAATTGAGTAGTTCGTAAACATGGAAATGTAGTAATGGAGCTATCAGGGAAGTGATACAATTAGCATGAGATGTGTTTGTAAAAACTGCTTTTGAAGTGTTTTAAAAGAAGTGCTTTTATAAAACACTGCTAAATTCACCTTTCATGAATTGGTTTTTGATTTTGGTCGGAAACAAACTTTGAGGGAAACCTGCATTTTACTACTGAATACGTTTGTGCAACAAAAGGGAGTTCAACTCTTTTTTTCTCCTGGTTTTCTTTCCAAACTAACATCTCTAAAACACCAGAGAAGAAACGTTTAAAAGAGTATATAAACACTACTTTAATCCATTCCTACGAAATCCCCCCCCTTTTTTTTTTGTGTGTGTATAGTAAATTCTACTTCTATCAAGAACTTGCTTGATTGAGTGGAGATTCTGATATTGGTATTGCATAATTTCCTGGATATGTATATTGTTATAGTACAATTGTTTGTTGTTGCACAACCAGGACTTAATGTTTTCTGGGAAGATCTTTGGTGACAAGAAAGTTGCCCAACAATTCCAGGTTTTGGGAATTCACAGTGTTTTTCAACTCCTGATGTTTGTTGAGTTGATACAAAATAAACGGTGATGTGGGACATATGGAATTTCTATTATTAGTCACTCATACTGTACCAGGTTCTGGTCTGGCTTGGCCAGATTCTGAGTATACAACTGCATAATGCGTTTGTTATCGCAAATGAAATTAAATCAAGCATCTGATTCTGATTCTATAAATATGATATTGATGGAATTTTGGGTTTGTCAAGTTCTATTAGGATCATAAAAGATGCTTGGCCGAGCGTGAGTTTGAAGCATTAAAGGAACGGGTTGCAGGGAAGAGGACAGGGTTTACAAGAGTTTCCTGCATAAATGCTACTCTTCCTTTGTCACAGCTGTCAAGCGTCTCAGAAGATTTATGTGCTGCATGTAAGGTTTGTTTGCTTTCATTCTTTCTTTGTCCAAAACAAGATATATTGGCTTTTAATTTCCCATTGTTATATTAAAGAGCATGGAAGCAAATTTTAGATTTGGGTGTCAATTGTTATATTATGGAGAAAATTTGAGACTTATGATCGAAGTGTTATTTTCTGTTTATATTCCATCAATATTTGGATTCCGTTGGATTTTTGTATAACTCGTGTTTTTTTTGATATTTGACAAAGTTCCATGAGTAGAATAAAGAGAATATAAAGGAAAATTATAATTTCTTGTATACCATGAAATAGGTTTTGTTGAATACAGTTGATGAACATGATTGGTAAAATGCATGTGTTTTATTTTTTATTGTTTAAGAATGCAGGTTCTACCTTTATGTACAACTATCATGTATGTTTAAGCTTTTCCTTGGTCTTGTGGTGGGCCCATTGACGAGAATGGTCTAATAGGTATATATGCAAATCTTAGAACCCAAATTGCACCTATCTAGATTGTCATTTTTTATGATATTAGTGTAATATCTTTATGGAAATTAGGCACAACTTTGATCCTGATGCTTTTGTTGTTTTTTTTGTGGTTAGTTTCCCATATCATGTTGTAGTAAATGGTCTGTCTCATATGTGCTGTTTATGGTTTTTGACATAAATAAAGTACTCACTTTATTGCTTCCTTTGTCTGATTTTGTTAATCAGTACCATTCTTATATCTACTTATGTTCTAATTATGGAAGAATAATGTGAAGCTAGGCTCTGACTGTCATCCTTGCTGTCATAAGCTTTAAAATATGCATCTGGAAAATTTGTTTAGCTTTGCACATCATCCCGGACAATCAAGAAGAGCCAAATTAGTACATTGTTCATAAGGCACCCTCTAAAAAGGCATAATACATGGCACGCTATGTTTATAATTATAAATTAGTTTAATTTTATTAGTTTTGTATAAACATGTATTTGCTGTCAATAATGCTAAAAGTGGGCTTTTCCTCTATTTCTGTTCCAGCTCTCTCAGTCACCATAGAATTTGAGGATGTTTCTTAGTGTATATAATATATAAATAAACCAAATTCAGTACTGTTACTCTGTCATTGCACTCAGTCATATTTAGTTTTTCTTATTTTTTTACAGTTTAGTGATGATGGAGAAGATCGAGTAGTAGTTGGGACCCTTGATCTTAATCAGTGTCTTAGACTTCCTGATGAAATTACAGGAAAGAAACCTGAGGTAATTTGTAAGATGTCAGTTTTATTTTTTTAGATGTCACATGTGCTTATTTATATTCATAGGATTAAGTGTAATATATTGTATATGGTATGGTTGATTTTAAATGACATCTTTGTTCTTTATTTTCACCATTTCCTTTTCCATATGTAAGATTGTAGTTGTATAAAATCTTTATTCACACCATTTTTTGCATAAACCCATATTGGCTATAAAATTGTTCAAAGTTTTTAATTGAGTTCAGATGATTGTGTAGGATTATGGGTTTTTCTAGCTCGCCTGCCCTTTTTCATATTTATTTACAGAGAATTTTTTTTTTTTTTTTTAATTTTAATTTTTTAGTCCACAAAGTAATTCGTGCATTGTTGTATCTCTACATGTTTATATGCATCTGTATGCATAAACATACAAACATATGCTGAATTTTTACTTTTATGAAATCTTGAATGGGTTATATTTATTATTTCCCCTAATAACCAAAATGAGCAACCTTTAATAGGGGATTGGAGCTGATTTTGCAAGAGCATACCTGAGCAATGTATGTGTAGCTAAGGAACTTCAAAGAAATGGTTTAGGTTATGAACTTATTGCAAAGTCAAAGATAGTGGCTCGGGAATGGGGTAACAACTCAACACTCAACTATTTATCTTTTATATTGTCTGATTAATATACCCTGTTTTTTTTGCTACATATGTAATTTAGTTATCAAATTGTTGAGTTGTGTGTGAACATTGAAAAATTAAATGCAATCAAACTACAACAAAGGAACCCTTCCCCCCTTTCCTTAGATAAAGAACTTGCTCCCCCCTCCTGAAAACCAAAAAGAGAAAGAGAGAGAGAGAGAGTAGACAAGCATTTTTATATATTCATTCATTAATCACATCTCTAGTTTGCTATGTGTAAAAGATCTTCAGGCTTTTGATTATTTTGGTCTTTATTCTTTTATAGTGTAAAAAAGAAATTTTGGCTATAGACTTAATTTCGACCGGTTTCATGTTGTTTTGACAATGAATATGTGGATATGGTTGAGTATCGAAAATTTCATACTTGTTGATATGGAGTTCTGTCAATTGTCTTGTGGAGCTCTCAAACCTTTTAAGATTTTATAACAAACTTATACCAGAGGGTTAATTTTTGTGATTAAAGAAAATGACGTGCTTAATTTTCTTCTAAAAGGTTTTTCCTCTTTTTTCATATTATCTTTATGTTATTGCACAAGTTTTCATTTTATGATTTGCTAGAAACTTTGTACAGAGATGTTAACCAATAACACAACACTCTATGTGGCGTGGCTTGAAAGATGTTATCAGCCATCTCATTCCCTTGTAAATTGTTACTGTTCAAGTTCAGGCCAAGCATAATTTGTTCATAACTATATATTTCATTCACTCTTCTAGTTTGAGCCTTCAAAATTTGACATTGGTACGTAATATTATTTACAGCGCTGCACGACCTGAAGCATATTTATGTGACATTTAGGTTGACTTTGCTGATTTATTTGCAGGCATAACTGATCTGTATGTCCATGTCGCTGTGAACAATGAACCAGCTAAGAAATTATACATGAAGAGTGGTTTTGTCTTTGAAAACGATGAGCCTGCATGGCAAGCCAGGTTTCTAGACCGGCCTCGGAGGCTTCTACTCTGGTTGGGTCTCTCGGGCACGCATGATTTGTGATGTTATATCCATCTCCTCTCCCAAATGCTTCACTGCTGATTTGTTTGTACATGTTTATAGTTTCTGAATCTTCTTTATATTCAAAATGTATAAAGCTACTCTGAACAACATTGATCCGAAATATTTATACCTTTGTCATAATTGATCAAAAAGATGAGAAAAAAATATTTTTTCGTTCAATTCAAATTTGTTGATGGCAGGGAAGAATAAAAACTTCATTCTATAGTGAGAAGAATTTGAAGTGCTCTCTAAAGAAGTACTTGTAAAAAGGGCTTTCAAGAATTGTGTTTTACTCGAAACATTTTCTATGAAAATTGAGTAGTTCGTAAACATGGAAATGTAGTAATGGAGCTATCAGGGAAGTGATACAATTAGCATGAGATGTGTTTGTAAAAACTGCTTTTGAAGTGTTTTAAAAGAAGTGCTTTTATAAAACACTGCTAAATTCACCTTTCATGAATTGGTTTTTGATTTTGGTCGGAAACAAACTTTGAGGGAAACCTGCATTTTACTACTGAATACGTTTGTGCAACAAAAGGGAGTTCAACTCTTTTTTTCTCCTGGTTTTCTTTCCAAACTAACATCTCTAAAACACCAGAGAAGAAACGTTTAAAAGAGTATATAAACACTACTTTAATCCATTCCTACGAAATCCCCCCCCTTTTTTTTTTGTGTGTGTATAGTAAATTCTACTTCTATCAAGAACTTGCTTGATTGAGTGGAGATTCTGATATTGGTATTGCATAATTTCCTGGATATGTATATTGTTATAGTACAATTGTTTGTTGTTGCACAACCAGGACTTAATGTTTTCTGGGAAGATCTTTGGTGACAAGAAAGTTGCCCAACAATTCCAGGTTTTGGGAATTCAGAGTTTTTCAACTCCTGATGTTTGTTGAGTTCCTTTATCGTATCGTCTTCTGGCTATTATAAGATCATATTTACCTGCTATTGATTCAATTTCTGCTAGTGTTTCTTGTCCATTTTCGACCATTTGCTCTACATAACATACTCTTTGATTGGTACAGTTTCAGGTTTAACATCACTCAGCAACTCGGAGTCAAGAACTTTCTCCCAGTCTACGCAGGTCTCAGCATTCTTGGCAATGATGCGGACCATAGTGAGGCTTATGATTGACTTCTGGCTCATGCATTTAGCCAGACTTAATGCTTTGCGATCATCACTGCCTCCAAAGAAAAGCATAGCTAGAGAGAGATGATATTGAGGATAAGTCCTTGGAAATGTTGAACCTTCACAGATAGCCACGATCAACAAGAATCGCTCCAGAGCAAGGTGATCGTTCAAGAACACAGTGATTCAGGGCTCTTCTTGTGTTGTCCTCTGATTGAACGGAGCCATCTAAGAACCATTTTCAATGAAATGGGAGGACTACAATGGTTGTGAGCTTGCCAAACACCACCATGCATATATCCTAGCGCATAAACTTGGTGGAGATACTGCTGTGAAGAGATGAGCATATACATTATCTAACCACTCCTATTCTGAGCATGCATTTTGTGGGAGATAAAGAGTGGAGCATCTCACCCACTTAGATTGATTAGGTGAAGGACATAAACAGCGACAAGGCTGCCTTTGGTCAAACAAGAGGCATCGAGAAAATTGAGTATGGAAGGGATGTTATTTGGCCTGAAAATACACTCAAGTATATGAAGCTTTATGCACTTAGCTTCCATAATGTTTCTTTTCTGGTAGCATGCATACTTCCTCTAAGGATCATAAAAAGCTTCACAAAGATTGGCATGACGGTGGCTGTAATTAGAATTGTAATAATCAATAAATGAAACACCTTCGCTCTTATAAGCTGCATTTAAGGTAAAAAGTTAGCAGTATTAGTGGCCTTGTTATCAAGAAATGACATTTGATAAACATTGTAATTGGATCCATGAAAATGCTAATGGTACCTTGTTGTCTCTAACTTTAGTGTAACTGATCAGCTCAACTATGCCTTTGGAACTTAATAGGAAGGCAAGTGCAACAGCATCCCTGTTGGGTACCTTGGAAACCAATGGAGGAATCAAGACATCAACAAATTTGGCCGTGTTAATCGTAGCAACAAAGATTGCAACGCTAATCATTAACTCGTCGCTGAAGTGAATAATATCTTGCACATTCACTTTCATAGCACACATATTTAATAGAACGGGGATGAATAGGCCTAAGACAAACGGATCGAGTTTATCAACCAGAGTAGAATACAGCTAAACCCAGAAGAAAAGGACCCCAAAAAACAGATTGATTAAATATGAATGACATTAGGCCAGATCCCACTGCCAGCATGATTATATAATTAACGTACAAGCTCTTGACAGGTTTTCCTTCAAGTGTTTGTTTGATAATCCAAAGGAATTCTGGCCTCATTATGGTTACTATTTTCAAGATGAAAACCATCATCGATGCAATGTCGATAAAACCTTTTTTCACAGAGCTTAATTTCCAGCAACCTTGTAAATCCAGATTGCAATCCACGTAAAAACAAAGTGACGATTTCACAGACAAATGCGCATGATAGTCCTAATCGGCCGAGTTCTGAATTTATGATCTGAAGGTCATTGATGAGGTGAGAAATGACTGGCAATGGACTCTGGCAATGTATTATAAGTACAAAGAATAGTTGCATTCTTCCATCAGGACCAAACTTCCAAAAATTGCTCACATTTAGAAGGACTGTAGCACCAAGTAGTATAGGAAGCAGTAGAGACAGCAGAGAAGTAAACAATATCTTTTTTCAAGTCTTGGGGATCATGCTAACTTCCATTTTCACTCCCATTAGAAACATAAACATCCCCGTGTGATTATTTGTGTTGATATTTTTGTCAAACTTATGTTATGGTGAAACATTTTGCCAAGTGGCATTTTCTCTTTGATTGTCTTGCCCATTAAGTTTATTTTGATTCATGATATTCTTGTGTAATCTAACTTTACATGTGTCACAATTTTCTCATGTGGTCCTAAAAGATTGTAAGGTTTGTCTGTGGTCCCGCAAGAAAGAGAAAAGATATGTTTATGGTCCAACAAAAAGTTGGAATTGTTTTTGTCCTCCACGTGTTCAACTATGTTAGACTTATGTCTTTTGCTTTTTCATTTTGTGTGTGCGCACACTTTTCTATTGTGCTAACATTGTATGTCTGCTTACTTTTACACAAGTTACGTGTTTTTTTTTTTTTTTTTATCAGTTGAGATATTTTTTCCCATCTATTGTGCTGTCATGTGGACCACCTACAGGTGTCCCAATATCCTCTTGTGGTCCAAGGAAATAAGCTTTTTCCCTTTTCGGTTGTGGTCCCAAAAGTTAGATGGAATGTTTTCCATTTTTGGACCAACATTTGTCAGCTAACTTGGCAAGAATTGGGGAGCACGAAATTAGTCTATATCATCTTCATTCTTGCTCATTTGTAAAGCTAACCTTTGATATTTTATTTTTTTTGTGCTTTGAAATTTTCAGAGAGTTTTTCTTCAAAGGTTCAACTTATGTTTATGTGCTAAACCGTTACCATCTCTTATTCTTGATTGAATGGTTATTGGAACTTGGTTCCATTGTTGATGCTGGAGCATGACTTTGGCGTGTAAAGCTTGGGTGGAGCTCAAGTGTTCTTTGGGTGTGTTCCCGGTGTGAAGAAGTCCTTATAGCAACAAGACATTAGAGATTCAAAGGGTGGTGTTTAGTGTAACTAGAACATGGAGTTCTCTTCATTGTAGCTAAAATCAACTTTGAACTATATCTTGTAGTGTTTGTTGTTTAGTGGATTTTCTTCGATCTGAACGAGATCCCATAGATGTAGGCTAAGAGTGGTTTTAGCCGAACCTTATATATGCTGATGTGCACATTTATTGTTTATGGATGTTTGGTTCATGTTTAACTTGATAACCATTAATCAACTTGGTAAAAACTTTCGCTGCACTTTAAAAACGGGTACCTAAATGCTATCTAGAGTTCACCGACTCCTAACAATTTGGAACTCAAATCTTGGCAACGAAGCCTCTAAGTGATTATGTAATTTGTCATGAATATATTCCAATAATCCATTTGAATAAACTAATGAAGGAAACTTTATGCAGAATCTTTGCCTTACTTCATAAGATTTCGGTTTTACTTGAAGTGATTCACTCATGTGGTGAATCGATGTCATCGAAAACTGAACCATCGCTGCTCCCTTCGAACAAATGCCCAACCGAATAATTCTTCATCTTCTTCTTCTCCAAAGGTAAGGCTGGAATGTTATTATTGATTTGTTTTTTTATGTTCTTGGGATAAAAGCCTTGTTAAGGTTGAGCTGTTTTACAATTTTTGCAAATAAAATGGCAGTGTTATCGAAATGGAAGTAAAGTTGGGCACCTAAATTTTGGGACTAAAAAAATATTTTTGTTTTTTTTTTTAAGAAACCACTCTTGGATGGCCGCATGGGACAATAGCTTTGGTGTATTACTTAAGAGGTCTTGACTCTTGAGTTTGATTCCTCTTGAAGATTAGTCAAGGTGTATGCAAACTGACTAGAATACCCTCGGTCACACGAAAAAAAGAAAAAAGAAAAAAAAAACTTTTTACACTTAATTACATTTGTAAATTTGCATATCATTACACTTAAGCTAGTCAATTAAAGCATTATCATTGTGATCAGCTTATAATATTGGTTAATATTAGTTGAGTAGTTAGTCTAGTATAGTTAGTTGAGCAGTTAGTCTAGTAAAGGTTAAGTTAAAGTAACAGCAGTTAGTACATCTAGTTAATTCATCTTTATATTAATTAGTTTTATTGTAGCTAAATCCAGCTGTAAGCTACTTAAATACCCAAATTGTAATAGAAGGTATCAGACTTGAATAAAAAAAGATAGTTGTTTCTTCTCTCTCGGTCAAAGAGTTTTCACTTCTTCTCTTTGTAATATGGTATCACAGCTCCGATCCAAGCTCATTCAAGCAAAATTTTGCAAATCTTACTTCAATTATATATATTAGATTGTTTTTTCTTCTATTTCATTCAATTGATTCAGAATCTTTGAATTTTTGTTTGAAATTTCTTCTTGAAAGAGTTCTTTCTTTTGACCTAAATTCTTGATCAACAATGAGTGGATCTACAAACACCAGTGTTC